GGGGTGCCCTCAAGCTAATACTGAGTAATTTGAGTATAAAATTGTATCTCACAAATCTTTTTCACATCAAAATTTACAGAAAATAAAAAACTGCTGTAATGTTATGTGCGGCAAGAAAATTCATTAATCTTGTGTTGATGAAACAAGAAATTTACATGAGTCTTACTGTATTGATGCCAATGTACATAGCCTTGTACACAAGTATCTCACATTCAATCCCCATAGATACATACACACCTTCTTTCATTTATAAAGGCTAATTCCACACTGTTAACTGTGTAGTGGACATGCTCATGGTAGACATGAACTCAAGACGGGAATCTTTTTCAACCACATTATAATATAACGTCTTGAGACCTTTTTATATAACTATTAGGTATGTTTGTTTTAATACTTACGGAGGTACCCTTCAGAGATGGAAATATTTCTTCAGCTCTGTGTAATACAATTTTTGGCACTCTTTTTGCGGGAGACTGCAACATTATTTGAACGTATGAATCTCGTTCATCACACATCTTGATTGGTGTATTGAATAGGAAATTAGCTTGAGAGAATCGTACTGATATTACTTCACACTTCTGAACAAACGTGGACAATGATATAAGCGTCCTTTTGCAGTCAGCGATAATATGTCTGCCTTCTAGTGCACAGATAACTGAACTAAACTTGGCCGTAGGTTTCCTCGGTGGGAGTTGAATGTTTCATGTTAACCAGCATTTCGGCAAACAATGCAATTACGGTCTGGACTTCTAGATACGAAACTTCTGGAAACATCTTCCCGTTGGATCACTCCATTGAATACAGTGAAGAAGTGGAAGGGAGCGACATCCCAGAATAGTAATCTTCGTATCTGCCGCTGTGTGAACGTGAAATCTTACCCTTAATCTGTGTAATTCCTTCCGCAAGACGTACAAACAAATAATTTTTGTGCCACATGTCGAAATATTTGAGATTGAAGACAGTCCTTACGTGTAAAGCTTCTACCACATGTATTACAGTAAAGCAAATTTTATTTCTCTGGTGTACCTAATGCCTTAGAAGGCTCATTCGCTCCTGAAAAGACTTTCCACGTGTGTCACGTTTCTGCGATTCTCGACCTGTATGCACTGTTGCATGTCGTTCCATATCACCCAACTGAGTAAATGTTTTTCCACACCGATCACACAAATATGACTTTCCATTTCCATGCACAATAGAATGCCTTTTGAGATAGGTTCTATTTGAGAATCCCTTACCACATACATCACATAAATATGATCTGTGTATCTTATCCACAAGAATATGTTTCACCTTATGTCTCCTCAGGGAATCCGTTCTTGAGTATCTTAATCCATATACATTACAAACATACGGCTGCTTATCTAAATGATATCTCATGCGTCTCATAAGATGACATTTAAACCATTGTGTGCTTCGTACAGTGAAGACGAGAGGACGTATGCCGTGAATTAACTTTCGACATTATGCGTGTGCACAATAGAGGCGTGTGTTCCATTTCACTACAGAGAAAGTAGTCCAAAGGCGAAAGATTTTGTGATCTTGCTGGCTAAGCAACTGGACCACCTCGGAAAATTCGACAGTGAGGATTCTGTTGATTCAAAAACGCAGTCTTCTGCCTACCAAATGAGGAGATGCGCCATCTGGCTGGTTAACAGAGAAACATGTTCGAACATCAGTTGTAACTCTTCCTGTAGGAAACGCACGTAGAACTGAGATGTCAAGCACTGACTAACCTAACCTACGTACGCCATTTGCGTAGCTTAGTGAACAAATTTCTCAAACACAGCCAACGCATTGTGAGTACGGAGTATTTTCTTGTCAAACCGTTGCAGATAAGACCCACGTTTATTTTAATTTTTTGACAGCTGTAGTTAAGCAATGGGTACCCTGTTGCTGGACATTCTCTACATGCAGAACAACTTACGTGACGTAATATACAATGGGCTTCATGTTGAACATTATACACATGGAGAATGGGTAACCTTTTAGGTTATGTCGCACAAATATAAACGTTAAAATCAGTATCATACGAAATTCAGGACACAAATAAGTCACTAGTCTGTGAAATTATACCTTCAATTTCTGCTACATTATATGTACAGATAAAAACATTTGAATAGAAGTGTACGTCACGCGATGTTCCAAAAACACTTCTGATGTCACCCCCAAAATTTTCTTTCTTCATAAATTGCAACTTACGAGTAGCCTATAACCCTGACAGATAAGTTGATTTTGATTTAACTACTGTATTACTTAAATACGCTGTTTAAATTGCAGTCGTTAGGCACACTTAGTGTGGAACACAACGAGAAAACTGGTGGTACGAAAAGGAAGCATAAGACCACCATCCTTTAAAATTAAAAAAAGACTAATAAGCAGATTCAAACAAATAACTTCATTTCGATGGTAGCATCTAAGTGACTACTTAATGGAAATAATTCGAAAATTAACATAACTTCTGAGGTAAAGTAAATGCCTTTAACATTTGACTTTCCCTCGCATCGCTCTTACCGTTTCCTGCGAATAAGACGAGATCGATCTCCA